TTTGTTTCCTAGTAAACTGGAGAAATTCCCAGATGTACATATTCCAATCCAGTTTCAGTCCACCTATTAAACACAAACACACACACACACGAATATAAAATCTTCTACTCAAAACAGAATGTCCCGAATACCATAATAGTAATGACAGTGACTGGCCAGAACATGACAAGAAATCTGAAATGCAATAAAAAGGTGGGGGGAGGCAAGTCATGGAAGAATCCTGATTTGCTGTCTGTGTGCAGCGGAGTGTGTGTACCTCCCCTCCCACACAAATCTTTGACGTGAGCATACAGCATAGGCCTAATTAATACAATCCTTACACTCCCCCTTTTGTGAATTTTGCAAGCAATTTTACATCCCTTTGGGGGGGGGAAACGAAAAACGTGCAACCCTTTAAAGATATGTGAGGATCAACCCTATGAAATCCCCCTGGGAATTTCTTCTTTGCAAATCATAATGTGCCAGTATTGGGGGAGGGGGGGGGAGCGTCCCTGTATTGTTGCTCAGACCCTTTCCTCTCCTCCTTGAAGGAAAACTTCAGGCTGGCCTGTACCCGCATGGTGCCTCTGCGTGCACCTCTGGTACCCGGCCAGTCCCCACACTCCTCCTACATTAGTGACTTAATTCCACACCAGACTTTCATCGTCCCTGACCCTCCACCAGAGCAAACAAGGACAGTTGCTCTCTCCTAGTTCTTCACTTACACATTTTTCTTTAATGTGCCAAACTAGTAGCATGCGAAGCTGCTATGCCAGCGTACCTCCAGGGAGCCAGATCTCAAACCGTAGCAACCTGTGGGAGTAACAGAAGGCTGCGCATATACACATGCGGCTGCGACGTTTGACACACCGGCTTGGGGAGCATGTGGTTCCCCACGGCAATAGGCAACCCATTAAGCTCTTTTCTTCTGTGCCAAAGGATTCTGCGCTCCCAGGACAGCAGATCTGCTATTTCCACGCTTGAATTTGGTTGGTTGGGTACAGATACGTGCCTGTGAAATGACCCACAAAGTACATGAAAACTGAAGGACACTGAAGAAAACTGACTTCAGGCAATTCTTTTCAATAGCAGCTTTAGCTGTGCTCTGAATTGCCAGATGCACTTAAACTATGGTTTTAAAAAAGGTAGTTTCTTCCTTCCTTCCTTCCTTCCTTCCTTCCTTCCTTCCTTCCTTCCTTCCT